CGTTTACCAAATGGGTAGAATGTCTACCAGCCCCTAATGACACAGCACAAACCACTGCTATGTTGTTAATGAATCATGTATTTTCAAGGTTTGGACTTCCCCTTAGGGTGAACTCAGACCAAGGTACACACTTCACAGGTGAAGTAATGAAGGAACTGTGGAAGACGCTAGGCGTCAAAGCCAACTTCCATATTGGCTACCACCCACAGGCTTCAGGCCAGGTTGAGAGAGCAAACAGGACTGTGGTGAGTATTTTGAAAAAATACGTAGCCGCAAACCACAAGGACTGGGACGTGAAACTCCCTCTGGTCCTCATGGCCATAAGGGCCACTCCACACACGTCGACTGGCATCGCTCCTTTCGAGATGATGACGGGTCGACAAATGACTCTCCCTCTGCACCTGTTGTACCAACCAGGCGATGCTGCCATGGCAACAGCCTACACCACACAACAATACATGAAAGACTTGGAAAGACACCTTAAGAACACTTTTGCTTTCGCACAGAAAAACCTGGAAAAATCAGCTGAAGGACGCAAAGCGTACTACGACCAAAAGGCCTCTCACGAGGAACTCCAAGTGGGAGACAGGGTCTGGTACTACACGTTTGCCCCCAAAACTGGGAGAAGAGAGTCCGGGACCGGAACTCTCGCCCGTAAGCTGATGCCCAGATGGACTGGACCCCATCTGATAATCGACAAAGTGTCTCCAGTTGTCTACCAGATAAAAATCAGTAAAGGCCAAAAAGAGCCAACTGTTAAATGGGTACATCGTAACCAGATTAAACAACACAAGGCGTGCAATAACTCCTCAGGAGACAAAGATCTCACAAAATCTGACCTTGTGGGAATAAGGGTCATCCAAGCAGAAGATAACTAATGGATAATAAACTTAACCATAGTTTAAACTCACAGGACCTACCCTTGATAAAACGGGACAGCGTGACTGAATCTGGCAACCAGGGTGAGGAGAAGCAGTGAAACGATGTTTCTAGATGCTTAGTCACTACTCTTGTCGGTGTTGAAACGTTGTTTAGTTGATTTTGGTTGTTTCTGAGGTAAGAATGAATTCTGTTGTGTAGTAAGTTAGAGACTAAGAGGCCTTTGACCATGCCAACATGCAGTTCATTCGTTAAATTGCAATCTTTGCGGAGTCAATGTATATTATTGCTACTTTAAGTACCATAATCTACATTGATCTCACAACGCTTAAGCCGAACCTACTCGAACAATTCTATTCGGGGGGATAGCTAATTCTTTTTGATAAGTCTCGCCATAGACTTCCAAAACATTTATGGGAAAACCAAACACCCAATCTCAAGTCGTTCGTCTAAAAGACAACAGACAATTACACCAAACTATATTTTACCATGTAAAGCTAACTTAAACCAAGTTAGAAATGGAAAAATAGTTTGGAACCCTTTTCTATAGGCATAAACCCCTGTAGTTACCCTTTTCAGCATGAACCACCCCTTAACTGGTAGTTGTAGCTGTTCCCAACCATAATAGCTTA